TATTAACTCCACTATTTTTCTTTTACAATTTTTTAATACTCTAAATACCCCCACTAACCTCATAATTTGTTTAAGTCAATTAAATTGCGTAAAACTATGTGTCGGTCAAACTGTAACACTTAAAAAACACGGAGGGAGTACAATTCATTTTAAATGAAAGAAGAACTACTTACAATGTGCCGGTCAAAGTGTAACACTTAAAAAACACGGAGGGAGTAACATTCATTTCAAATGAAAGAAGAACTACTTATTAAAAAAAAGTTCACTAGTTTAAGACAGAAGGAAATAATATTAAATTGTACTCAAGGGAAGGAAGTTCTAGTTCTAGCCTTCTTCTTGGTATATATGAATGCGCAAAAGTGCAAAACTACGGTTTGTGTATCAAAACAAAACGCACCTAAAGGTCACTTTTAATCTTTTATTAAGATCAGAATTGTTATTTGTCCTTCACCAAAAAAATAAATAAAAAATAAAAAAATAAAATTAAAAATTGTTATCTGTGGACCACCCTAATTTAATATCCCAACGGATTGTTCATTCGTTCATCCCCCCTTGTGTCTCAGTGTCTGGTCTGTTTCCAAAAGTCAAAATCTTTCTGTTCATTACCGTACTTAAGCCAACGTTGCATACTTGTGCTCGTAATATTAATTAAATTTAATTACATTGATTATAGGATTAAAAGTACTGTATTAGTAAAATACTTTAACATGAATCGAACAAATTCCATAATATCTCTAAAATGGTACAGTAGTACTTAATTTTTTTTTTTTTTTTTTTTTTGACAGAACAGTAGTACTTAATTAATAACATATGCGTGAGAATATTTGGCTACAGAGGAACAAACGAGCAGTTAAATTGTGAATTTATCATTGCATTCACAATTCCACTAGCTTGCAATTATGTTAAAAATAAAACACTAATTTCAATTATACAATACATACACTCAAGGGAAAGTAAATATAGAATAATAGATGCCCTCAATTGACAAAAAAGGTTAGGTATAATAACTAAAGGCAGTAGCTATATTTACCTTCTTTTTCATCTTAATTAGCATGAATTTTCTCAACGTTTATAAAATTTGTATTCCGTATAATATAATAAGTAGGAGTATTTCGAAAACTTACTTAAATGTATTCTCGTAATAGACAATTCAACTTCTAAGAAACATAATAAGCACTCACTATACCACCAGGCTATAGATAGTGCTTTTTTTTTTTTTTTTTTTTTTTTTTTTTTTTTTTTTTATCATGGTCAAAATTAAAATACGTTAATGACTTGAAAAAACTAATCTTTTACATTTTCATGTGATAATGACTTACCTAATTTATTCAATAGGCAATACTAAGGGCTTGTTCTGATTTTACTAAACTGTGCTAAAGTGAACTGATTGGAGTTGAACTGAACTGAATAGAGCTGAAATGAATTGTTTATGAGAGAAGCAAATTAGGAGCTGAGCTGATTGGTGTTGAACTGAACGAAAACTAAAGAGAATTAAATGAATTAAGAGCTGAACGGAAACTAAAGAGCTGAACTGATTTACGTTGGATCCACTAGTTGAGATGAATGAATTAAATATTGTAAAAGTTTTCAAAATAAAGAAATGGAACAAGTATTTAAAAACGACCGAAAATAAAAAGTGAAACAAGTATTTAAAAACAGAGAGGATACTACACTACTCGTAGAGTCGTATAGTAAAGTTATTTATATTATACTCCGTACTATGTATCTAGGTAAAATTTGTATTGAGGAAGGTCTCCTAATACCCCTATATTTTCTTACACACCTTCATACGGAGTAATAGAAAAATAGAGTAGTGTTTAAAAACGGAGGGAGTATTATTCATAAAAGTACTCGTAATAGAAAGGTAAAACCACTAATCCAGGCTAACGCGTCCATCAAATATACGTATAATTCAATAAAGTGTTTACTCCGTAATACACCCTCCGTTTTTAAATATTTGTTTCACTTTCTTTTTCCGGCCGTTTTTAATACTTGCTTCATTTCCTTTTTTTAGAAAGCTTTTACAATATTTAATTCATTTCTCACACTTAGTGGACCCAACATAATATTCTCTCTCATCCTATTCTTCCACTATTTTTGTATTTTACAATTTTTTATTTTCTTAACTACCCCACTACCTCCATACTTCCTCCGTTCTTTTTTACTTGACTCGCTTTGACTTTTACACTATTCACCACTCCTCCTTTGACCGTCTTTTGTGAATAATTTGTAAGGAAAAATATGTTCATGTTGGATATTTTGAATTCGTGTCAAGAACTACTATCATATTATATAACTTTTACAATTTTTACTTATGGAGAATTTATGTTATTGATCGTTGAAATTTTGCATTGGCAAGCGTGAAAAAAGAAACAGGTCGAGTAAAAAAGAACAGAGTAAGTATATTATTACTTTCTCCAATTTTTCCTAAAACTCTGCGAGTAGAAAAATAAAGCTAAAAACGGAGGGAGTATTATTCATTTTTGGTGGGCATGCTGAAGTTTAAGTCACGTGCTAAATTAAAAACCAGATACGGAGTATCGTAATCAAAGTGTAAAAAGATGGATACCCTGCCTTATTGGTTAGAGTGACGTCACTGCGTCAGAGAAATTAGTGACGTCATTTAGTTACAAGACATTTGCCAGCCAGGCAACGTAGGCACCCTGAATCCTGATAAGGAAAGCTAAACCTCTACCACCCACATTGGTGCATTTACTATCACAATTTTTGTACTCATCACAATAGATAGTTAGACACCACAATTTTAACCGTTTAAATGGTTGAACATTTAGCCATTGTTTGATTGACATGAAAAATAACTTCCTACGGAAATTTGTCCATTTTAATTACATATCCTAATCCGTTTTAAATTATTATTACATAATAACGAGTGCAGTAATGTAAATAGTTTCTCAATTATTAGTCTTGATTTCTAATCTTTCCAACCAATACAATTACACATTACACTAGGAAGATATGGTTTCTCAATTATTAATCCCCATTTCAAATCATTCCAGCCAACACAAATACACAACAACACATTACACTAGGAAGATAGTGCATATGTCCTCTCTAAAATGATTCATTTTTGTACCCTTGTGTGTAAATGGCTTTCAGAAGTTTATACTAATCGACTATTCGTAGCATGGTCCATTTTGACACTAAACTTCAAAAAGTTCAAGTCAAGTTGTAATGAATTAATTTTCATAAATATACTTTATTATTATTATTATTATTATTATTATTATTATTATTATTATATTTAAAAAACAGACATTGTCATACAATCTAAAAAAAATTAGTGGGAAGCCGAGATACGATATGGGCCCCTACTCCTCTAGCTATAGCAAATCCTACCCTAGTGAAGCTATGAGCAACACACGTGCCCTAATGTCTTGAGTCTTCGAGAATTTCTGGATCCGTTTCAGCCATGCAACCGCCTCATTCTCTAATTCCCCGACTGAAAAGAAAGAGAAAGGAAGGAAGCCATATCGAATTGCGTACTTGACCCGATTCTGATTAGCCGCATCAGCCACAACCCGTCCAGGAACAAAGTCAGATAACCCACACTGTGCCAAAGGAGAAGACCCTATCAAGTCAACATGTCACGTGTAATAATTCTCGCATTAGCATTGCATCATGCCACATCATTATTTAACATCTTATTCTTGCATCAGCATTGCGCCACATCTTCATTTCATGTCATGATGAACTAAAATACATACAAAGGGATTTGATTCTTTTTTTTTTTGAGGGGATGGGATTTGATTCATTTGAATACTAAACCTCATTGAAGAAACCAGAGAATAATCTAATAAAATATGGTACAAATCAATAGTTTTGTGAGTTGTGACACTCTAGTACTCTACCTTAGGATTTGGAAGGGTGACTACAACACCTGGTATACTGAATTACTGATAGGCAAGCATCCAGGCTTGTAGCGCCTACGGTCCAGCGGTACCCAAGCCCACTTCTATTCTTACCTCAATAAAGCCCAAGCTGCCCAACGCCCCAACCTATTTTTAATTTGACTTACATTATTTTATTTTTTAATTGAATTGTAAACTTGGCTATTGTTTTACTACTATATGGAAAAGTTAATGTTTATATCCATAGTATTTCCTGATCACTCAACGTACATATTAAAAATTTCAACATCATAGTAATTTTATTAGTTGAGAGTTGAAACTTTCGGAGCATTAATCTAACATAATTTTGCTATAGATGAAGAATTATTCTGTATCTGACTAAATGTACTGTTTAGGGTAATTTACCCTGCCACGTGGCCCAATCAGAAGGTGACGCGTGTCAGCCCCAGATTGGTCTAAAATGGACCAATCCCTGCTCGACACGTGTCATTCCCGAAATTAAGGGAAAAGGCAGCCTTTAGGCCCAAATCCCGAGAATGCCGCCTAACGGCGCAGCCCACCAATGATTAGGGTTCAGTAACCTAATCAGGGGCACAATTCCCAAAGACCCTATAAATAGGGAGATGTCCCTCATTTTGAAGACACGTTTTACCATTTATTACACATTTTACTTTTTGATAGAGACATCCTGAGCTTGGAATCCAAGCAGATCCCCACCTAAATTTCCGCACATTTTTCTCCTTTCAAGTTTCTAACTTGTGCGTCGGAGGCGGAGCACCACCCAACTGGTGTCTCCGTTTGTTTTGCAGGTACAGCTCACCCCGGATCAGTCTTCGTATTGTAACTCTCCCGAGGGACAAAAACACCCAAAACATGTACCATTATTCACCCACTGTCAATCTGCCCTTACCAAAAACAAATACTACCTCCATTACAGGTTATGTGCAACGATTAGACATTTTTCCTCTCTACTTTATGTCAAATCGTTGCACATAACCTGTAACGGATGTAGTACTTTGTTCACAGCTCATTCATGTAATCAGTAAAAGAAAATATAATTATGATAAACAGTTATTGATTATAATATGTAATAAAAATAGTACTTTGTTCACAGCTCATTCATGTAATCAGTAAAAGAAAATATAATTCTGATAAACAGTTATTGATTATAATATGTAATAAAAATCACAAGTATGATGGAACAACCAGGTTACAACACAGTAGTATGAACTAAGATTATTAACCTAAAACCCTTGGGTTAGATCCTACTGGAAACAAGCTCACAAAAAATGAAACTAGAAGAAAGCACCACAAATTAAAGAATTTTGTACGCAAATCCTACAGTAAGATATATTGTCATGGTCACACACTATACTGAGTAGTGATTATTGTCTCTCATCTACTATTTACAATCCCAACTTCAGCTGTTTTTTTGGTAGGTTTACTCAACTGGAAAACAGGATGCCTGCAAAGTTTTTTCACCCCCTTTTTGAAGTTTAATCTTTCCAATATCCCTTCCACTTCTCTATCTTCATCTTCAGACTCGGCAACCATAACAGGAGAACTGTCACGAGCATTTGAGCCACATGATTTATCTTCAATGTTCTTATTTTGAGATTTTCGATGTTTTCTTTCAGGACTGAACTCTAGTCGGTCTAAAGTGACACTTCTCGTAAACTCTTTGCTGTGCACTTGATTACAAGAACTTGCTGTGTTGTCCTTCTCAAAAATCATTTCTCCTATTGAAACGGATTTGTGGGGATTGCTGGTAGGGGTGTTTGAGGTGTCGGAACATGATGACAACATCCTTGCATTCTCTGCAGCGTCTTCTCTTGATTGGACGGTTTTCACAATCAATGTTTTGAGGAAATTCATCACTTGTACGGCGTGGATCAATGCTGTCAATGGATCAGCCATCTGCAAAGCACAGATAATTTAGCTGTAAGTTACAATAAAATAGGCATGTTTTGAAGGTAAAACATGGACCAGGCATTGGCCAAAAAAGGCCTATTTGGGGCCTGGGGATTGGGAAGACCTTGAAATATACCCTTTCATGTTATAATTCCTAAGCCAATTCGAAAAAGATGCGCTAAATCAAGATGAGCTTTGGGGAAAAGAATCCAAGATCATAGACTTATTGCCTCAATAAGCCAGCATTATTGGCAGAAGATGGAACTATGGCTGTCAACAAATTACGGGGAATTCAGATTCAGAGTTAAAAGGAGAATAAGTTCACCTGAGTCATGTTTGGCGCAAAGACCATGGCAATATTCCGTGCATTCATCTTGTTATGATGTTCATACTGCACGACATCTGCCATCAAATTGATGGCCCAGTCAAGGAGTGCAGCTTCCATTGGCGGAAGCAATTTTACAAGTTGAGTGCACTGATCTTCTGTATTGCAGTGCATTACCTGTTCTGGTGTAAGACAATCAAGCACTCCTTTTGGCAGTTCTCTAAACCAGGCCTGCAGTACCAGCAAACAATATGAGGTATGTTAGCCAAGTGTATTTATTTTGTCCAGTTAACCCAATTATACTTTGTCATTAATGAAATAATCACAAAGTCAAGTTATCCTAATCCCTAGGTAGCTGTGGAAGGACTTTACTTTTGTTCTCTATTTAGTTTATTCTTGATCTGGAGAGCAGTTGGTTGAGTAGAATTAGTCCCTGCGAAGAAGCTAAAGGAGAAAAGGAGTGAACCCAACCCAACCCAACCAATGGGAAACCAGGCACCGAATTGGAATTCAAGGTTCGAATGTGGGATCACTACCATTATATCCCCACATGATTCTCCTGTCCTCCATAATTATTTTTGAAATGGATGAAACCAATAGAAACAACACAATGTTTGTTTGAACCTTAGCTAAGTTAAAGAGATTTATGTAATAAGAATGATGAAAGAATTGGAGTTGACAGGACTCATATAGCAGCAGCCAGCAGGTGAAGATGAATTAGCAGAGCAGCTACTAATCTGCAAATGTAAATCAATCACTAAATTGAGTAATTACCTTTATTAATCCTGCCAAACAATGGACATCAATTGCTTGTGGAACTACCCCTTTGTTTAATTGACTCCGAACACTCTCTTCATGGCTATTTTCAGCAGTGATTCGAAAAATTCCTTCAGCCTACAAAAAGGAGGTGAAGAAAAACAAAAACACATCAACTATTAGACTGGGATCAACTAATACTTGATCACATCACTTTTTAGACTTTTAATTCCATAAACATACTTGAAGGCCTCCTTCCTCGCATAGGCGCTTTTGCATCATAAGAAGTATATTCGGCACACTATTCCCTCGCTCATCAATAGAACATTGCATTGACTGAGGAGACACACCAAATACACTCGCACTGGATAACACCAGAAAATCCAAATATCAAGATAATGCACAAAATATATAGCTTAAACAAGAAAAAGAACATTCACTGCAAGTCTGCAACCATCAGTCAAGACTAGAAACTGCCCTATGCATTGACAGCAAAAGTGCAATAAATTGTAGTTAATGGGGTAGATATTGTTTCATAATTCTCTGAACAACAAGCTAGCAGTTCAAGAAGCTTATCCTGTTATCTAATATGACAATTTATCTGACAATCTAGAGTTCTTTAACATTAAACATTCCCCAGACAAATACAACTTATCTACCTGGATAACCATCACGACTTACCACCTACCAAACACGCCGTTAAAGTTATCACTCCAAGTGTTCACCTAATCATAATTGGGGTAGGGAAATGGAGCAATGGGAAGAGGAAAAAATTGAAGACCTTCGCGTAAAAGAAGACTCAAACGGATTAAAATAGAAGCTCCAACACATATTCATATTCGGAATGACAGAACGAATCGAGGAACCCGAAAGGAAGGAACTCCCTAGCTGAATTGCCAAAAGCTCCTGGAACAAACAGTGCACAAAGGATATCTCTAACTTGTACAATATTCCTAACCCATGAAAACCCCACGTTGATACAAAGTATCCTTCATTATTAATTATACTCAATTCTTGGCTATTTCTTAAAGCATACTTAGCAAGTCATACCAATTACAATTTACACATTTACATCATCTTTAAGCTATCATATTCGCACGAAATTGAACCTAGACGTAATTAAAAAGGGTGCAAAACATACCTTTCAAGTAATTTTGATACAAAACCCTTCAAATTCACCTTGCTTGAGTTACTCATATTCATCTTTATATAAACAACATTAAAATTCAATTCTTGCAACAATCAACATACATTATTAATCTTCAACATTGATTCAAATCTAGAGTTATAGTTCACCAACTAAAATTAAACATATCACCCTCCAAAAATAAATAAAAATTCAACAAAACAGATCTCAAAAATTAAAGAAAGTAAATCTGACCTTGCACTAGGAACCCTTTGAAGAATATCAGGCTCAAATTCATCAGGCAAACCCAGAAATCCCTTAAAACGATCAAAAGTAACATGAGAAATATGCCTAACATTTGTTGGACAACTAATTTCCAAGGAAGAAACATCATTATCTTCTCTCTCAACACTACAAGTCATTAACAGTGATTTTCTAAGTGCCGCCGCCATAAACGTAAGAATTGGAAACTGCCCACTTCCATTTCCATTTCCATTCTCTCTCCTACCATTTTTATCAAAACCTGGGCTTATTAATGGCGTTGATATTGGGTCAAATTCATCTTCATAATTCCATTCTTCTTCTTCCTCTGTTTCTTCTCCTTCTTCTTCCCAAACAGAGGAACTCGGGGGCGAGTCAACTGAGTCGCACCCGAGTCGACAAGACTTGGATCGGAATAAAAGGGTCATGATGTTATGCTATGATTGTTATGTTGTGGATTGCAAACAACACCATAACATCACTGGAAAAACAGCGAAGAAATTCTTTTATAATAATAATATTATGAATTGACAAGGGTAGTGTATAATATAAGAAATGAATAAAAAAATGAATGTTTGATTAAAGATTTAAAGGAGGGGGTTGCTTGAAAAAGAGGAATGAAGAAGATTGAAATGTAATGGAATGGATGAGTTTTTGGAGAAGAAAACAATAGACGAAAAAGGTTAAAGAGTTGGTTTTTGGAAGTTATAAACAACAAAAGAAAGTAAGTGGGGAATTTCTGGGTAGTGTAGCACTACTGCAAATCCGTGACTCACTAATAAATTACCCTTCCTCCGTCCTATAATACAGAGTACAATATACTCCGTAATTATATAACCGTATATTTTTATTTTTCATAAATTTTCAATAATAAAGACTCGTTATTGACGGTTAAAAATGCTTCTTAATAAAAACCATATAAAATAAAACAGACATTATACGATATATTATGTTTCTGGGTAGTGTAGCACTATTGCAAATCCGTGACTCACTAATAAATTACACTTCCTCCGTCCTATAATACATTATACATAGTACAATATACTCCGTAATTATATACCTGTATATTTTTATTTTTCATAAATTTTCAATAATAAAGACTCGTTATTGACGGTTAAAAATGCTTCTTAATAAAAACCATGTAAAGTAAAACAGACATTACGATATATTATGATAATGAAGGATTATTAATGGTAGAGTAATAAAAGACATTAGTGATAGTGGATATGTGAAGCAAAATGGCAACGAAATGGAGAATGTGACATCTCAAAATAGCTGTATATGAACTTGTTGTACACATGTACTCGTATTAGTAAAATAATGTCTAGCATTCAGTGTAAATCTTGATTTAATATTGTAAGCAAAAGTCGTAGTCATGGGACCATTTTTTGAGAGTACCTTATGTGCAGTGGCGGACCCAGGAATTTCCGACTGATGAGTCACAATCGATAATCAAATATGTAAAAAAAAAAATTTACCAAACAACCAAATAATAGTACTACAACCCACATATTTAAACAAAATATAACATCATCCCACCATAAAATTGTAACACACCCTTACAATCTTAAAAATACCCTTTAGAAATTTTAACTAGTTTGTCAACATAACATGAAATTGCAGCAAAAAAAATCAACTTTTCCGAGCTACTCATATATTGAAGTGAGAACTAATCAAAATTTAGAATTCCAAATACAAGTAAAATCATTTGAACATAATAGTATATGAAACAAGGAGATGAAAAGAGAGAATATTCAACTGACCTCAGACACCACAACAATTCATCAATCAAATCAACATCCTTAATTATATTTCATTATTAGAAAAAACACAAGACTTTAAACTTTGCAAGCAAAACCTTTATCAAATTACAAGTTATAAGATACAAATTACTGCAATAATTAACATAATCAAGCATAATTGTTCCGACATTCATATATAGCCTTATAAAAACTACCCAGATGCATAATTCACATAATTTGATCACCAAATATTCAAATTACACCAAGAAAAGCCAAAAATGCTTCGAAGATTCATACTTAAAAACAAACCCAGATAAATATTTCACAAAATTTGATCATCAAACATCCAAATAACGCGGAACAAAACCAAAATTTTCAGGGGGCAAAAAAAAAATCCCAAATCAAGAAATTGTAACAAACCAAGAGGGTGCTCGAATTTGAATGAACTTTTAGCCATCTCAGCACTCAAAAAGGTAGAATTGATACCTGCTGAGTCAGAGTCTGGAGGCGTGAGCGAACTAGCGAAGAGGAAGCGTTAACTAAAAATCAACCTAAGTTTAAACCAAGTTTAATAAAATTAACTAATTAGACTGAATTGAATTGAAGATTAGAATTTTAAACTAAAATAGAAATCAACTTACTAGCAAAATGAGAATAGCAGATTAGAAGAAGCGTCGAAGACTCGAAGCGAACTAGCGAAGAGCACTAGCAGTGAGCACTGTCGGTCTGTCGCACACGGCACACTCGCACTGAGCAGCACTGCAGCAGAGCAGGCGACTAGGCTAGCAGCAGCACGCCAGCACTGGAGGGTGGAGGTAGTCTGGTGATTTGGTGAAGTGGTGAAGAGGAAGAGGCGAAGAGGAAGAGGCGAAGAGGAAGATGCGAAGAGGAAGAGGCGAAGTGGGCTAGGGCTTGACTGCTTGAGGAATTCGCCAAATCGGGCTCACCTCAGTACCTGATTAATACATTTTTGCCACTTGATTAACATTTTAACTTGATAAACATGTGATAAACTTATATTTTCTCATATAAGTAATGTTGGATTACTTGGATAACAAGTCCCATTGCTTATAGGAATGTATATTGTACTACTTTAAAATCCATACTGGATTAAAAATGGCGGCAACGAGCGATGAAGAAATGGAGAAGTTACTCTCCCTCGCTGATTAAATCTCCAACGATTTCGAAAATGGCATCAATGAAATCCAAACCCTAAAATCCAACTTCAATGCTGAAATCAACCATCGCCAATCTCTCGAGCTCACCTGCTCCACTCTGAAGAGAGAGAATGAACGATTGAAGAACCTTCATCTCGAAACCCTAAACAATCTAATGCTTCATTTACAACACAAAGGAAATTCTCACAATTTGAAAGAGGAATTGCAGAAATTAACCACCGAGTCATTCAAAGTTGCAAAAGATCATCGGAAAACTGTGGAATCATTGAAGCGAAATCAGGAGGAAGAAATTAGGGTTTTGGGGGTTCAAATTGGGGAGATTTGGCGCCAAAAATCGGCGGATGAAGCGACGATTTATCAGCTGCATCATGAGCTGATTTCGTTACGGAGTGGAATGAAGGATGTGGAGGAGAAGAGTCGAGGAGAGATTGAGGATTTGAGGGATTGTATTTTCGCAGAGCAGGAAGAGAAGAAGGAATTGAGTAAGAAAGTTAGGGATTTGGAGAAGGAATTGCTCGTTTCGAAGACGAAACAGTTTTTTTCATCGGACAAGCAGTTGGATTTGCTGAAGCAGAAGATGATGAAATTGAGGAGAGAGAATGGAGCTCTTAAAAAACAGCTCATTGCTGCTTTTAAACAGAGCTAAAAGAGGAGACTTCAAATAGGTAAAAGCACAGAAAACATTACTTCATTTTGAAAATTGAATTTTGTTTTTAGATGGAGTAGAAAATATATATGCATGTCTATTTACTGATTTATGGAGCAATATGATAATATTATCCACATATGATATTGTTGTGCAAATTTGAATACATATCGTGGAATTGTTAGATAATTCGTACATTGGTAGTTTGAAATGACGAGTAATAGTGCATTGATACTTTAACGATATAAGCAGTGGCGGACCAGGAATTTCCGACTGGTGAGTCACAATCGATAATCAAATATGTAAAATATTTACCAAAAAACCAAATAATAGTACTAAAAAATACATCCAAATATTCAAACAATACAAAATACAACCAATAGGCAGCATCCTTTTCCACACTATACTCAAGCCAAGTCCAAGTACCAAACCACTTAGCACAAAAGCGACGGTTTTTGCCAAAAATAGAAGTTTGAGGAAATACAAAGTCTTTGGGCTGACAAGGCTTTCTTTGAATGTAAATTCTTCTCACTAAATCTCTATCATCTTTATGAAATTCACTCATCTTTCTCCTCTTTCCTGGATCTTGTGGAAGATTAGCAAATTCATGTTCACTTAATCTTTCACAAGTGGTTGGGGCATTAGGAGAACATTGGCCTTGTTCATTTTGAGGGGAATTTTAAGTTGAATAAATGAGATGGAGATGAATGTTGTTCACTTTCTTGAGGTTGAGATATAGTTTGTTCATTTTGTGTTGGATGTGGAAGAGAAGTTGGAGTAGGATTCTTTTTAGCAAAAAAGCTAGTAATGTTTTGCATTTCATTTGGAATGCGTTTTCTCTTCATTCTGAAATTACAAGACTAAAATTAACAAACTAATAACTAACAAGCTAATAAACACCCTAACTACTGTTCTCCGTGTAATAACAGTTTAAACAATTTACAGCAACAATAACAAGAAAAAACTTAAGAATGATTTAAGGTTTATGTAACCACAATTCAGACACAATGTTTTACAATTCCTGAATCCGCCTAGTCTATACGGAACTTCCAGCCGAATATGCGACTAGCACCACTAACCAGTCCACACTGTAATCTAATTATAAATTTATAATCCTCCTTACACTAATAGCTGTCTTATACAATGTCCGGCATCACATAAACTAATAAGTTCAATTTAACAGTCAAAACACAAATAATGCAAATTCAATGAACATTCATCGTATATACTAATTTTAAGCAACAAGTAATGCAAATTTGATCAGAAATTCACAAAAAAAAAAAAGAATAAATTGATGATTACCTTGCCAGACGGCAGACGCTGATTGAGGCGAGTAGGCGGAGCAGCAGGGCCAGCACTGGAGGCGACGAGGCTTGAGCCGATGAGCGAAGAGGAAGCGTTAACTACAAATCAACCAAAGTTTAAACCAAAGTTTAATAAAATTAACTAATTAGGCTGAATTAAGTTGAAGATAAGAAATTAAAAATAAAAATTAGAAATCAACTTACTAGTGAATTAGCAATTGCGTCGAAGCGATTGCGAAGAGGCGAAGAGCAGTGACCACGGAGACGGAGCAGGCAAGCAGCAGAGGCAGAGCAGGCGACTGGAGGGTGGCTAGGTGGAGGCAGTCTGGTGAAGATGAAGCGAAGAGGAAGTCAAGAGGCGAAGAGGGAAGAGCAGCTGAGGAGGCAGTGGGCTAGGGCTTGAGGAAGTGTCGGGACCTGAAGTTAGATTTTTTTTTATTTTTTATTTTTTTTAAAAAAAACTTAAAATTTTTTTTGGGCCCTGGTGAGTCATTTGACCCACCAGGCACAAGGCCCAGTCCGCCACTGCTTATGTGTTACCTTAATTGTGATAGTGTCATATTAAGTGTGAAGATATCTACCATATACTAGTAATCATTGTTCCCACTATTTTCTTGTGAGATGCAATCCATTATTTTTTAGATTTTAATCTAGCTACTTAACTACTCATAACTAATAGGGTTTAAGTATTTCGAGAATAATTTCCTAGTAATTGCATTTGGTTTATGTTTCCCCTCTTAAAATAACTTATTATTTAAGGTATTGAGAAGTTCATAATAAAAAAAACATATCCCTCTTGGTTTGTAAAGGGATTCGAATGCAATTGAAAATATAGTTGATCGATTAGGGGTAGTTGTATTTAAGATTTTGTAAGTGAAAGGACGTTATCAACTTACATTGCCTATATATATTAATATTATTGAATAAGTTGAATTAAATGATCATGTGCTTACAAGTTTAGAGGCAAACCTCAATATATACATCGGCCTACTACAATTCACTTATATATATATATGAACTCGGCTTTAACCCAATTTATTTTATCTACCTTATATTTTGGCTAATTTTATCAACCACTTAATTGTTGGCCGATTTATGGTGCACTTAATGTGTTATCACTTAATATTATTTATTGATATTAACTACCTGTGTTTAACTACGTGCCTATCAAAATAGCTATTATTCATTAGATGAATAAGGACGTTTGATCTAGTAATGAATTAACAGCCAAATTAGGCCTTTGTCTCTAATAAACATAAGTAGGGACCTTGATTTTGAGCCATAATGTATGTACAAAACATAACTAACATGTATTTTCTTATTTATATTTAAGTTAAGAGAAGGAATCATATGTTTCTAGCTAAAACGATAAAAGAAATTTGTAATATTGGGAATCTAGACAATACTTTAGTATGAAGCAACAAATAAAATGTACAGACGAGCATAATGAAAGAATAAATTAATTAAAGTAAATAAAAGCTTCGTTTTTGTTCTCTTGTTAATGTGATTATCTTAATCTTATTCATTTTAGTCACTAAATTCCAAATTAATTAAGAAGACAAATGCACATTAAATTAATGATAAGTGAAAGAAAGTCTATTAATTAAACCAAATTAATTTTACTATATGTTGATCTTCTTAGTGCATATATTGACTAGTATTTTGTCACGATTTATATACTAGATGAACTTATAATATAAATATGAATCAATGTAATGGGTAATAGTTAGCCGACCAACCATTGATTCATGAATTATGAATAAGGAATCTAGCAAAAAAGTAAGGATGTTACAAGAACTGGATCCATGCATAGGCGACAAAGAACGACATGGGCATTTTTATAATTATGTAAAACTGCTCGATCTTCCTATTATTTATACGTCCTAATTTAAAATTCTTGACAGTCAATTTATGCTGTTTCTCATGGAAGCTACGCCTTTGCCATGCAATCGTGTAATCTGATGCATGTATTGTAAATCTGTATCAATAACTCATGCAACTATGAGGCTATGAGAGTGAATGATTGATTGATCGGACCTACACGTGAGTACGTAAGAATTAGTTGTCTTATAAAAAGAATGACTAACAAATACGAAGTAAGATTTATGGATACTCCACATATTAACTAAGGATTTTAATTAAGACGAAATTTTATTAAGCTTATATATAATATGTGAAATTGTGAATATATGCAGTTGATTATAGTGAAGCTTTTATTATTTGATAGTGAACACGTGTATGTTTCATGTGTCAAAATATAAACAGAAATCAAATGAAGTAGCATAGTTTGTTCCTTTATAAGACACATGTAAATAGAATTGCAAAAGAAATAGTTTTCAAGCCACCCTAAGAATAATTTCCTTTCCCTTAAAAATAGTGTGTTGTTGGCTGGAAATTTGGGAGGAGACTTCCAGTTCCAGGCCACCTGGTTCATCAATTCTAGCTCAAACTCTCAAAGGCTGATTTATACAAGTATATAAAATAATGTGCCTTGATTTTGAGTTACTACTTTCAAATGATCAAAGACAATCAACCTACAGAAAAAGTTTAACACCACTCCTTTTTTAGAAGAGATTGTAGGGATCTATAATTCGTATGTACGGTTCATGTTTGATAACTTTTCCATTCTTTAATTCATTAAATTAAAAGTAATAAACCGTATCAAATACGTTTGTTTTTCTATCAGCTTATCAAGTAAGATGTTCAATTAAAGACAACTCATTTTGAGTAAAGTATTAATAACATATTGAAAAGGTGAGAACATACATAGTTGATTAGTTGGTCGAAAGAACTAAATTAGTAAAGTCTATACTTATAAAGCGCATGCGTGAAATAAAAAATATTAATTACGTCGAACTTAATTAATTGAGTGACAATGAATAATCAAATATTAAAGAAGATACATAAAATTCCAAAAATGAGAAGTTGATGTATGAAGGAACTCTAAATTGTAAGTTAGGTGAGCAGGCAAATTTGGGATGACCTTATCCATCCGAATATTGGGAATTTGGGATTAGGATTAGCTATCTGTTGGAGGGTTAAGCCAACAAATCGTACCTATTATTATTATTATTGTGATTCCTTAAGAAATGAATTGTACCTATTTTTATATTTATGTTTCTATTTGAAGGAATTTGAGTTTCTTTAATTTAAAGTAGTGGCACCAAAATCTATATAATAAAAAAAATAAATAAAAATGATGAGCAAGTGTGCAAGAACAAGAATGATAAGATATGTAAGATCATTTCATTGGTGGTTATTGGGCTGTTATCATTAAATGGGACCATTATTTTAGTCATACCAATTCTTGACCTGCACATGACACCATTTTTTGTTTATCTTGTCTTCTGGTTCTGGATCTTAATGTAAATTAAACTTTAGTGATTAATTTATTTAATTAAATATTATTAACTGCTATGGTTAAAATATACGATGAGACCCAGGCCTAAAGAAATACAAGTAAAAAGGCCCAATTACTTTGGGCTTTGAGTTGGGCTTGGTGCAATTATAGTCTAGAACTAGAATATATAATTTTTAATTTTTTTAAAAACATATCTTGAAGTACATTAAGCCTGAAAATTTGACCAAAGACTTTAAAATAATTAGCCCAACTTTTGTGTCTGAATTTCTTCCAATCCCATTTTTAATGGGGTCTCTACAGAATTTCTCATTTGAATGATTTCATTGCAATTAGCATAGTCCCTAGTACCTACAATTCCTTTCTGTTATAGCTAGTTTATTTACTACGGAGAACAAGTATACTACAAACTACATTGTTTAGATACTACATTACATATCAAACATTAATCATCTATTGACTCGCCAATACAATTTTTAATAAAATGAATATTGTGAAGGAGAGAATAACTTAAGTCACATCGGTTCTTTAAAATCATACAACGCAATGAACGCACTCTATAAGCGAACAAAATAATTGACTTTTACAGATTTATAACTTTATACTACTATTTATTAGAAGACAAAATGATAAAAAGTAAAAATAATTCCATAAATGAACCATGTTATCCATTTTTAAATTATTTTCTCCGGAGTGCCTTTAAACTATACAACACCCGTGTGGCTGACTGGCTGGTTCCTCTAGATGGCGTGGACCTTCAAACACTAGCCACTAGCTGAGTCCTGAGTGTACAATACCTCTTCATGAATTCCCAACCAAAAACCAGCTTGTCAATTTGTTTGATTGACTGTTTGACAGGAACACCTAACGAACCTCTTCCTTAATTAAGCCGACCAAGACTTTTTTGGATTATAATTAATTAATTAGTCTTTATGTTTGGAGTATAATCTAACAAAATACTACTCCTACATTCATTTAGCATTATACTCTGTATAACCATTTTATTACCTATTCTCAATTCATATTATCAATCACTAATCTCACCATCTTCAGGGATGGTTATAGGTTGGATTGACTAAATCGAGTTACTGACATTATTTGGTACAGGGGCCTACAATCATCATTGCGAAACACCAAAATAAAACATACATAAATTATTAATTATTAATCGTTCAAACCGGATTTGATAAACTTTGTTGACCTCAAATTATTTAAAACAATAATGGATGTAATATACTTTTAAAATAACTTTATATTTACAATAGTAATGTTTTTTTCCCTAATATTTTTATTATGTATATCGATTTGAGCTTAAGTTGAATAAAGTGCCAAGCAATTTAATTTGAGCCTGACTTTGTGCCTTCAAGTTCTAGTCAAGCACCAACTTTTCAAGGTTGGCTTAAATTGACTCGATAGATGTAGGCACTCCTAAGGGCCTGTTCTGTTCCGTTGAAATTCAGCTCAGTTCAGTTCAGCTCAGTTCAGTTCAGTTCAATTCAGTTCAGCTCAACTCTTAATTTATGTCTAATGATATTGCAAATGATATAAAGCCAAATTTCATTCTTTTAAGATCTTATTACAACGACAACAACAACAAAAATAATAATAATAAATAGTATATATAAAAAAAAATAATAATAATATTAACAATAATAATAATAATAACAATAATAATTGAAATAATAATAATAATACTAACAATAATAATCAATAAATAATAATAATCATCAATAAATAATAATAATAATAATAATAATAATAATAATAACAACAACAACAACAATAATAATAATACTAATACTATAATAATACTAATAATAATAATCAATAAATAATAATAATAATTATCAATAATTAATAATAATAATAATAACAATAATAATATTGATACAATTCATTGTTCAAATGGTTCTATTTTTTTGAAACATATTTCTAATGTTAATCTCATTGAGAAAATTAGAGGTTTCAAGTTTTTAATATATTTTCCATACATTTTATAATTATAATTATATAGTATATTTTTCGTAAATATTTTAATATGTACATTTGTATATACACATATGTATAGTAATAAATATCAATAAATAATCAATAAATAATCAAAGATCACTAATCCGTAGTTAAAAATCACTAATTAATAAGTTCAGTTCAGTTCAGTTCAGCTCGATTCAGTTCAGTTCAGTTCAGCTAAGTTCTGTCAATCGGAACAGGCCCTAATTAGGGCTTTTCTCATTTAATTTGAAGACGACTTTTTTTGCCACAATATTATTAAGAATTTGAGATGGCTAAAGTCGTTATTTCGTTCACCTCTTTCTTCAATAATTTTTTTTTCAATAGATCAAATTATATCATCATCTTGTTCCACCAAATATGCTTTTTAAACATCCTCAAAAGGATACTTCTTTGTATCTTTGTATACTATATTATCAT